TATTACATTGGAACAATTTCCCAATAGGAAGGAGAGGATAAAATAGAAAGGCTTAAAATAATGATTTTTGGTTAAGCAGGGCTAATAGAGCTAACTCTAATAACTGGATATGGAATTAATAAATATATGGAAGAGCTAAGCTATCGGCAAAAAAGAAATGTATTCGGAGATAAAACAATAATTGTATATCGTTTTTTACTAGAATTAGATTAGCTAGACAATTGACCCATAGATAAATAAATTGCTGGATCATAGGTTCGAGGTTATACTAATAGGCAGAAATACGCCAAATACCAAATTTCGTGAGTAAAAAAGTGCTCAACTTACCTGAGAATCTCTGAAAGTAGCTCTACATCCATGGCAAGAATAAATTATGTGGTTGTTCGACCTATCAGGAGCATCCGAATGAGCCGGATCCAAAGATTTGTAGCGAAGATGTAGCTCAACAGAACGGAAGAGAGCAGCTTCTACACATTCAGCATCTTTATAATGCACTCCGGAACGAATACGCATACCATCAGTAAACAAATGACCAATTCGTTTTTTGACATCAGCCGTCAAAAAGCCATAGTAAGAAAGATCATGTTCCACTTCGTTCTTTAAAAGAGGAATAAAAAATAATTTTTCATTAAAATTAATTTCAATGCGTTAAACTTAAACAGGATCTGAACTTACTGCAAGAATATGCCTGGTTACAGCGTGAAAAACAGCTTCAGTACGACCATTGTACATGAGGCCGTTACTATTTTCACAAACAGTGCAAGTGAACTTCTTGTCTGATCTAGCAAGCATCCGAGTCCAATCAGGATAGCCGCCAAATAGACGAATTGACCCGTCGGGATTCTTTAGTTCACTATTAGCCATATTTGGAAGGTTGGCGGGCCGACTGGCGTGCATAGCAGGTAGATGATGAGGAAGAATTGAAGACGGTTTAGAATTTGTGGGAAGAATAGTATGCTGAGAAGGAATAAGATTAAACCTAGACATTTGCGACTGCATTTTCCCTTGAGATGCACTACTATGAAAGTTTGAGCGAGGAAAATTGTGAGGGTAGAAAGATCCTCGATTGATGTCCACCTTATTAATCTGTGACGAGTATATAATTGGAGGCGACGAAGGTCGAGGAGAGATTGATACTGAACCATTGGCCACTGAAGAAGAACCATCTGGAGAAGAACAAGATGATCTTGAAGATTTGCTTGCATCCACAATCGGAAGAGGTAATGAGTGTTTGGACGGTTGAGTATCAGAAACCGGTGTCAATGCATTATTGCTTCCAACAGAATTGGAAGAAGGGCATCGAGGATATGCGATACCAATGGAAGAAAGTAATTCAGGTTGAGCCTTTCCCGGAGCCTCAACTCCACGACAGGGCCTTGATTCTTCGTCAAATGACAACTCAATATTTTGTTGCAAAATTACACTCTAATTTAGTGAAAAAAAGGATAAAAAAGCATACCTTGATCTTGTTTTCCAGGCACTTTTTATGGGCTGAACGCACGTGGTCCAGCATAATGTCTAAATCGCTAGTACATGAGCAGCAGAGGGAACACACAAATAGTCGGCAGCTAAAATTTGAGCTGGTATGGAGACCATTATCTTCCATCGACAAATGAACATTCAGAGCATGTCTACGGAGTTCTAAATCAGAATGGGTCTTCAAATTGCATTTTGGGCAAAATATTGGCAGTCCAAAATGGCATTGAGACAGAAGAGGCTCTGTGACAGACTGCACGGAAAGTCCAGGGTCCACCAGGGACATCTAAAATAAATTAAAGGATCTAGAGCCCAGATGATAATTTAAAAAGTAGAGAACACGGCGGTTTCATGTTTATTTTTTATTATACAAGGCTTATATAATCAATGATTTTCAATGAAGCACATAAATTCAGCCAGTTTAGACATTAGTTCTGTATTAGACGCTTGGACCTGGAAGGAGTCGTCAACAATCTTCTTGCGCCTAGGGAAAAAATACTTTTTGTTGTTACAAATTTCCCAGTCGCGAGAGCTTATAATCGCTTGAAGCTTTTCTTCAGGGAGGCCAAGCCACCTCGTGACATGCTCAATTGATATACAAGAGTAAGCATTTTCTATTAGACAAAGTACTGATTCCTGTTTGTCCGATAACAATTTCTGAACAATAAAAACGAGGCTTTGAGGCTGAAAACTGTCTTCAAGAATGCGGTTTGCAGAGGCAAAAAACAAAGGGAGATCATTCCGCCAAAGTAGGCGACCAAGGTTCCATAATGACTCAAGGCTGGGATGGCTAGATTTCACCGATGAAGGAATTCGTTTACAAAGAAATTTGGCCGAGATAAGATCCATTTTTATAAGATAAAGCCCAAGCAATTGAAAATAAAAATCACCGGGAGTCGGTATTGATGGGTGAGGAATGAACTTTGTGCTATCCAAAAGCTGAGGATTCATGGTTAATTCAAAATTCTCTAATTCTAAAATTTGATTTTCGATAACAGATGCGTCAGGCAACGACATTGTGGTAGGGAAGGGGAAATACGGGGAAAAATACTAACAATAGGGGCTTG